GGTACTTTGTCACCCCCCGCACCCGCGGTTCCGGTTCCAGCTGAAGAACCGAAAACAAGAGAACCGCGGTTCCGGTTCCTCACGCAAAACCGAACCGCGGTTCCGGTTCTTAGCGAGAACCGAGAACCGAACATCCCTACTCATAACGTACAGCAATGTCACTTCACACTTCTAATCCAAGAAACAAATAACTCAACTCTTTGTCCGTCGTCTGTGTGGAATCCGAATAGTACTGTTTTGATCAAAATGGAATATAGTCGAGGTCAAAATCAAGTTGGTTCCCCAGAAGATATAGCAGTTGATAGTGAATTAAACGTTTATGTTACGGACTCGAGTAATAATCGTTTGACAGAATGGTCTGCACCTAATTATTTACAAGGTGAAAATATACTGGGCAAAAGCGGGGGTGCAGGTAATGGTTTGGAAGATTTAAATCATCCACTTGGTTTGGTTGTGGATAAGGAAGATAACTTGTACCTTTGTGATAGGGACAATCTTCGAGTTTTAAAGCGTACTCCTGGTGGAAATGTTAGCATTTTTGAGTTGACAATAGTGCTTGTACTGGTTTGTGTCAGAAGTAGAAGTGTGTCTTTGTTGCTAATTACATGCTTTGTTTAGGTCCAGAATCTGTTCATGATAACCAACATTTAGTTGAAACTTTTCCAAAAAGTATAATTGGTTAGATTCAGTAAATTGTACAGTATGAACTATAACACTTGACTTCATGGGTGGGAGATTTTGGGGTTTGATATGTATTTGATGTATTGTTTTGTTTCTCTCTCGGTTTATTTTTGTTGTTAGGAAAAAACACTCATGATGTTTTTGTGAGATAAAGCAGGAAAAACAGAATTATTTGTGGAACGAAAGAGAGAAAACAAAAACCGGAAGAAGGGAAGAAAAGATAAGAATAAGCGATGTTATGAGTGTATCATGTACAAGCATAATGAAAAATAAGAAACGTCACTCATGATCAAAACACTTTACATGTGGCTAATTCACCTGTTAGTTACTGTTTTTCGTACTCCTGGTGGAAATGTTAGTATTTTTGCCAAAGTGCGTTTTTATCTAGCTAGCGTTTTCGTCGATGACTTGGGCTCGATCTACGCTATTCTCCACTCCGGATCACAAGTTTATAAATATCCATAGAATTCGCTGAATGGTTACACAGTCGCAGGTTCAAGCGGCAAGTGACATTTCGGACTCTTTTCGGTGTATAAGCGTTTCATTTATTATAGACAAATTCATTCATCGCTTGATCATCTTTAAATAACTTTTGCGATGGTGCAGAAACCTTTCAGTTGTCAAAGCCTCAATCGGTATTTGTTGACAGTTACGCCACATTGTACGTGGACAACCGGAACAACGATCTTGAATGCGTCTACCATCGGGACGAAGGGAATCAGACTCGATGCTGTTGGAAATTTGTATCTCCTTACAACGAGAAATGAATATTATCAAGTTGAAAAAGTTGCTCCAATATCAACAGATCAATGTTTTCGAATTTTTTGCGCTTGTTCTGATTGATTTTTTCGATTAATTCGCTTTTCAGCTTCTCATACGAATGATCAGAATCTTCCTTATTCTTGCAGCTTTTGACTTGAGGAATGATCGACGATGAAGAGTTTATTTTTGGACTGGTGGAGAGAATGCTGGATAGAGCTGGATTGTTTGAGTATCATATGATCGGTGTTTTCGGTATTTTCACCCGGTCTCCTCGAATATTTTTTGACATCGTTTCTAGTACATATGGTCGTCTTCGACTTTAAGAAAAATGGATAAGTGATTTTGATTGAAAATATTCAATAAAGGACGCTTCACTGTAGAAAAAGAATTTCACCGAGATATAAAAAATTTGAGGGTGTGTCCGACGGAATAGCTTCTTCAAGAAATTTAACTGAAGCGTGTGAGCTTTGTCAAAACCAACCAAAATAAAAAAGCAATAACAACAGAGTGATCTCAACCTTCACGCTTTATCATACAGTTTAACAGCTATGGTAGGATCCTTACCGGACTTGATAGAATTTATGGAAAAACATCTGATTCTTTTCTATTCTTATGTATAAGTTGTACTACAGGTCAATTTCTATTCCACGAAAGAGAAAAAAAATGATTACGAATTGGAAAGAAAGTATTTCACTCAACTGTAACCATCTGTATATATTTAGTCTTTACGTTGCTTATGTGGTAATCTCGTTGATTCTACTAGATCGTTAAATCGAAAACGATGTTTATTTATTTTACTGATTAAAAATGTTTTCTAGGTCATTTTTCTTTTTACAAATAATTTAAGACGACAAATGAATAGCTTACACCCTAGTCATCGATCCTTATAAAGGAATCAGACAAGAATCTTACTGAAAACTTATATAGATCCTATAAGATCCAGGTAAGAATCTTATCACACTCTTACAAGATTCATATATAAGAAAACGCTCGAAAGTGCTGCGAATTTCGTAGGAGTCTTATAAGAATCTGATAAGAGATTTGTAATAACTTCATAAGAAATTGCTAAGAATTTTGATGTTATTCTTATCTGTTTCCTATGAACATCTCATCTGGAAACGTTGCTCCACATGTTGACGTAAGAGAATAACTTTTTGCGTTTTTCTATGGTGACACCTTGATTCTAGAAAGGTAGCTTCACGACTCGTTCTAAGTCTCTACTGCCTGTAGACTTACGGTACTTTGACGGCCAGTGATACATATATGTACCACCTATTTTCAGCAGAGCATAACTTTTGATAGAAAGCAGTTAGGGAGCTTCGATTTTCATCATGCGAAAGAAGAGACTTGGAAACATGTTTTCCCGAGTAAAATAAGTTTCAAAAGAGTTTTTGAAACAGCTTTTCTAGGAGATCTTTGGAAAACCAGGTTGTACGTAGAATTTTTCCAACAGGATTGCATAGATTTTCTTTCATAAACTGGTAGTCCGAGATCTCTTCTTCAAAACGGAAGTCAAGCGAGACCTTCATTTTCTGTCATTCGGGCACTGTATCAAATTTCCTATGAGCCCCAGGACTGGCACCAGGCGACTATTGATAGCCTTGAAAGCTGATGGATTATAGGTAATCGATCATGCTGAGTCTCATGGCAATATTTGTGTTGTAGGAAAAGCTTTTAAACCCTAGCAAACAGCGAGTTTTATGAAAATTTGGATTTTGAGGCTGTTTCACCTAATATTAAAAAATTTAGTTCTGTACATTATCCGCTTTTTGATATTAACGGCTCTGAGACTTCCTTTTTTTACTTATGTCGTTGAATCATTTGTTTCACTGACTTTCTCTCGCCTTTCGGTGCGTTAAGAGAGCAAGGCCCCAATCCTCCATTTTTGTATCTCTGCAGTCAACGTAAATAAAATCAAAAAATCTGCATGGTAACGATGATCTAGATATGTATGACGTTGCCGATCTAATCTGAACGATGATTTCGCAAAATATCATTTGAAGTCTAAGTTTTACGTGATTGACAAGTGTGTGGCTGATAAAAGGCTTGTCCTTGTAATTTTCACACATCAGAATGGGTTTACTTTGCGCTTTTGGTTTAAAACGTGTTCTCTGACGTTTGTCCTATACTTTACTTTAGATAAGTGTATTCTACAGATATCTCTGGATAGTTTTTTTATAAGTAATTGTTATTGATATTATCCAAACTGTTCAGACCTTTTTGTTCTCACTACCGTGTATTAACGTTTTCTTTTTTGTTCTAGGCCAAACTATTCTCGGATGAGTATACACTATTCTCAATATTAATATTCATTATTTTTGTTATTTGATATTGCGGTCGTAAGGATACGACAACGACAAATATGTTTTCACACTCATGTCAACTGGAGGACGTTTATCAGCTTATGGATCAAAATAAAGAACGAGCGTCAGACGAACAAATTAATTTAACAACAATATTGACACCATTTGAGTATTCAATGTTCGATGAATACGAAAAACAATGTTTTACAGCCGAATATTTGTTTTTTTCTATGTTACTGGCCATAAGTCATTTTAGTCAGAAATCGTATTTTACTCATTTGGTTGGTAATCAACAAATTGGTTTGAATCTTTATCATATCTGTGTTGGAGACAGTGGTTAGTGTTTCTTTTGGTCTTCGACTTACAGCAAAATAGTTTATTTGATTTAAGCTTTATTTATTTATCAAAATGGTTTCTCTTTATCCATCTGTTTCTGTTTAGGTAGTGCTAAATCGCAGCATATTAGTGAAATTATTCGTTCAGCAAAAGCTACACAAAAATTATTCTCATCTACATATATTACTACATTTCCAGGTGGAAGAAATAATGGAAAACGAGAAGAATCATCCATTGTCGAAGAGCTAAGTGTCGTCGGTTTGCTAAATTATCTTCAGCAAGGTGACAAACTTTTGGCAAATGCTGAAATTGATGCGTATTTCGATAAAATTGGATTGTACAATCAGTCAAGTGCCACAGCCACTGAAGGTGGCTCAAGTTTATGCTTAGCATTTGATTGGATTAGAGATTTTAGCCGTCAAACTGGATCATCAACTCTATCAATCAAAAATGCAAAATTATCGCTCATTGGAGGAACAACGGGTTGTAAATTAGCATTGCTATTGATGAAATTCATCAAATTAACAGGGCTTGAAGGCGTTTTCAATAGAATGTTGTATTTATGCATGAAAAAAAACGGGGGATACGACCACAAGATAAAAAGCGGCCAAGACAAAATGATCGACCGTCAATCACACATCTGAACATTGTTGTTCACTGCTTTGGTTCATGCGAGTATCGTTTTGCTCAGAATGAAGATGATCGGCCATTACTTGAAAGAGAAAATTATAATGAAAATGATGTGTATGAATATGATCAAGAAAATAAAAATCAAGGTTAGTATTAAAATAAAAAATTCATGTTCTTTTGTATTAAGAGTAAATAATTATGTGCTGTTTCAGAAGAGAAAAATATGGAATAATGATTAAAACATTGACTCATTTATTTTTCTTTGTGAAGACATTTTTTAATATGGTTTACTTTCGTTGTTTATATCGTTATGTTTTTGTTTTCTGTAGATGATTTATTGTTAAATATAGTTTCAATGCGTGAATCAATGTCATTGACATCACCTAATTCTCCGCTTCAAAGAAATGAAGACGAAGATGGTACAAATGATAAGTTTAGTGCGTATTATTATGTCTTCAATGCCACCGCTGACGAAATTGACAAGATACCATATGTTCATACTCGACATTATCGTGATATTTTAGCGAAAGCAGCCGTTATTTATCCAAAATTATGTGTTAATATGCAATTATTCAGAAATTCGATGGCTGTCCTCGAAGCATTGGAAGGAGAATATCAATTTCAAGATGGGATCAAAAACAGTGGAACAATTCCATTTGAATTTATTGAGAAAGTGAAAGATAAAATTAATGAAATGTTCCTAGCAAAAGCAGAAACAAATGAAAATGGTTTAAAAATCTTATATGTAACAAAAGACGTTTGTGTTGGTGCAAAAAAATATTATAAACATTTACAAAACATTTCGTTCGAGTTATTTAATATAAATGAAGGTGGTCCGCTTAAAAAATCGCTAATATTATTAGAATCAACAAAACTAAAACAAAATGCATTCTCTTATGCAATCCACCCTACTGTCGTTGACCAAGTTCGACCAAAAATAAAAAAGTACGGCTATAAATTATTATTGAAATTGCAATTTAATATATTTAATAAATCAATGTTGAATAAAAATAAAATATTAGGAGATGGACCATTAAGAAATGTTTCACCTGATGTCATTGATGAATTGTTACTAGACTTGAGCCGCCGAGATTTATTGGTAAGAGGACTTGACAAATGGCTCCAGGGTCAAACAGGTACATATGATAGCTGGATGAAAGCGAAATTGCCACCACCCGGATATGAGCGAGATCTGTTCAAATCGCATTTGTTGGCTTACAATATTCCAATTGAAGAATATAACAACGTATATATACAATCATCTCTACCCGATTTTTATCATTTAACTGATGCAGCAGTTTTGTTCTTTGATACACATTTGTCGTACGCATCTGAATACCATAAATATCCACTTGATTTAAATAATATGATCACTCAAAAACTAAATGACGGAATAATAATATTTAATACAGTTACAAATAGTTATGAAATCAATCAAAATGGTCCAAATTCAGAGAGTGATGAATTATTAGTTTCATCAGTAGCTGCTTCGGCGCAACTGATTGATTCATGGGCAGATCAGACTTCAGAATCAACAACACTCAGACGAACCCCACTTCAAACAATATCTAATTTACAGAGTGCTGATCAGCTCGATTCATTGGCAATAGATACATTATTTTGAGGAGATGAAACAACAACCGAGAGACAACATCCGAGTTTAGTAATTGATAAAAAGAAAGGTAAGTTATTATATAGGAAAGACCAGAATGATTTCACACTTCTTGCACCTATTATTACAGACGACGAAAAACAAACCAATAAACAAATTCATCCTCGAAACCAAGAGGGTCGTTCAATAGGTAACTATATTCAGCTATGAACAGATAACAAAAACCAATTTCTATTTTTTCCTTTTTTATTAGATCCATTTGTTGATATTAATAGTCGGAAAAATGACTTACTCCAGTACCTATTGGCAACATTAACGACGAAACAATTAGAAGCCATACCGTATAATTTATTAGATCCATCAACAATTTCAGTCCATAGCGGAAATTATTCTTTCGGTAAACATTGACGCCGATACGCTGAAATTAATCAGCCGAATTTTTTTCATAATCTTTTTTCTGTTGTAAATAGCCGAGTCTGTCAATTCAAACGATCAACAGCCAGTAGTCGAAGAAATATTAGAAACTTTGTTGATTGATGTAGACAATTGTAAGTTGAAATATGAGATAATTGTATAATTTGAATCTGAAAATATTTTATGGTATTATTATCTCGACAAGCTATTTTGTATCGGTGGGTTAAGCTTCTTCTCAGAAAATATCTTGCATAAGCTGCGCCTCACTTTGATAAAGCTGAAAAGTCCTGTCAGAATAATAATAATTAAAGCTCTTAACATATTTCTACTACTATGATTCTGCCTGATGGTGGATGAATATGTTTCGCATATGATTTTATTTATATTTATATTCAGATGAAAATCAGTCTACAGCTAGTCCTCCTAATAATCACATACATAATCAAGTTGGCATCAAAGTAATCACAAATATCCCTACAGTTGTCGATTATGGTGATTATAGTGAAAGTAATCATGTTGAACAAATGCATAGCATTCAAAGATACTATCATACTCAACACGAGTCGGAGCTACATCCTGAAAGCGAAGAACAAATTGGCCGTCATGATTATCATGGAACTAATAACAGTAAGTTTAAAATAACAGAAGACCCTAGTAGGGGAGATACTCCTGAGTCAACTACAATGTCAATTCGATTTCAAATCAAATAATTCTAACGATTCTTTCTATCATTTCAGTTCTGGTAGAACATAGCACAACGACATCAGTAGTATCTTCTGATCAACGATTAATAACTGAGTCGACATTATCATCCACACTTTCAACAGTAGTGCAGCAGTCCACTGATCAGTTAGTCGATGTAACAATTAGAAAAATTTCTCGAGCAATTTTAACATCATCTTCAGCGTTATTAGCTTTGAAAGATATTATTTTAAGATCTACACATGCTAGTGTGTCAACTCGAACGGCAGCAGTTGGACAGTTGATAAAAGATTGTCTATTACATAAAGATTTTTATTTTGCTACGTTGAACAAGAAAGAGAACACTTTAAAAGCTCAAATCGGTTATCTGAAATGTTTTCCTGCCGATTCTGATACTGTTTCGAAAATGAAATTTATTCATACACTACATAAATATGATCTTGACTGGTCACAATATCTCGCATCGTTCAATAATGGTAACCCGATCGAATTTGATCAAATATCGCAACAACCGATAATTAACGTTGATAATAATGTAGCAACAAAAGCTAAATTTTATCTATCGGAATTGGCTCAAATAAAATTCAAATCATCGAATTTTTACCGGTGTTTTGTAAAATATGATGAGAAGATCGTATTACGCCCAAGACAACCAGTTGCTACGTCGTTTTCCGATACAGGTAAGGTGAACGAAACTAAGCTGATACTTAACGCTGTCTATATATTGTAAAATTTCTTTTGTCGTTTAAATAGCAACAGATTTATATGCCAATAAAATACAATCCAAAAAAGGTAAAAAACGGTCTGTGACGTCAGATGCGATGCGTTTTTTGAAACGACAAAAAATCCACCACTGAACAAAAGGATTCTTAAAAAGCTCATAGGGGCTAGTGTTTTCTTTTATATATTGTTTTATATTTAAATGTTTAAATATTGTTCTTTCTACAATAATCTGTCTCTTAGGCCATTACTTTTCATATTTTCATTCTATACTTTAGTGTAGTGTAGATTTTACTTTTAGAAAAGAAAAAGAGTTTTGACAAAAATAATACAAGCCAAACCATTGTACTTATATATTGTTTCGGCTTTAACATGCGTGTGTATTTTCTACATTTTGGTTTTTATTTATTACTCAGTCCTTAACTAGTATTCTAAAGATATGTTTTATTTCTCTGTAAACGATATTTTTATTTGTTTTTTCAAAATGGTTAATCAAGTAGAAGAAAAAGATGTATATATTGTTTATATAAAAGACAAAGCTGCAATTTTTTTTGTTGTCCAGCTAAAGGAAAACATTATTGATAAAATGTAGCCCGATAAATATAGTTTCATACCGGGCAAATCTTTAACTCATTGGCTTACACTACAATCAGTCGACTTTTTCTAATTTTTTATGTTTAAATGCTTCATTTGCTTGTTTAATTTAGACGTGTATCATTTTAAAATAACTTTCTATTTAATCATAATGTCAGCTGCTCTATCAGAATATGACAAAGGACTGTTATTTTTAACTTGTCAGACGCGACCCCATCATATCATTTTATTAATGACATTGAACAATATCATACCAACTGAAGTGAAACATAAACATGAGCACATCGCAAACATGATTAACCTGCAATTTAAAACAACATATGATAAATGTCTCATTTCATCCTTGATTGATATTATATCGAATGAGTATGTGTATCGCGAACAATTTGCATCAATTATCTGTTTAAGACATATATTTCAAAGTTATC